CCCCAAAACCCCAAAACCCCAAAACCCCAAAACCCCAAAACCCCATTGGGCGAAGATTGGGCTATTTGAATAAGAAAAAGTATTAAAAGTCTTATTAATTAAATATAGCCATAAATGAAAAATTAAAAGTATAGAGTTGGATTACTGAATATATCCCCTAGATTTACAATCATAATTTGGTTTTTAATGCTTGAGCGTGTACTGCGTTTTCTGCTTTGGCACCACCTTTCTTGTTTTTTCTCTTACTAGATTTAGTCAGAGTGATCTTCTCAAATATTTGAAGTCTCTTCCTACTCATGAGGTTTGGCAACAGAGTAGAGTTCTTCTCATTCAAGTTGGACTCAATTCCAAAGAAGTCAGCATCAGCTGCGCTAACTGCATTATCTTCTGAGGTAATTTGGCCGATTTTGAATGACTTGCTGGTTTTAAGTTCCTTAGTCAGAGCTTCGTGAAGCAATCTCATATCATTGAGGTCATATTAGGTCTAAGCTGCCTTGGATTAGTCTGCATTACTTTGTTGTGTCTTTAAAGTTTAGTTAGACTTCTATTGTCCGTTCAAGTTGTGGTAATCATTCCTATTTGGAAGATCATCATTTTAGTGCTTGAATTGGCATCTTGGTCCATATGGACAGTAAAATTCCTCATGGAATCTCTTGCAAAGCTTTGTCTTATAGTTTTTGGGGATATTTTGCTTGGTATTAAGTTCGTGCTGGCCGTGAGCGAATGAGCAACTAGATTCAAATTAGCAAAATCCTGTAAGCTCCCAGTTCTTGCAAATCTCAGTCTTGTATTTAGTTCTGAATCCTTCAATATATCTGACTTAATCTTCTTTGTTGTTGAAGACTCGTTTTGGTTTCTTAATTGATAAGTCTATCATTTCCTGATAGTGTTATTAATCCTAATTATCTGTGTATTCGTAATCAGGAGTTCCATATTAATTAGGACTGTATCTTTAATCAGACTAGTCAGCTGAGTAAATTTGACCTTGTGTTTATTTAGAATCAGCAATTTCATTCTCAGAAGCTTGATTTTGATTAAAATCTAGAGGAAATCCCATCTGAGACATACCTACCTACCTGAAGGGGTAGATAAATGACTGATCTCTGGGCAAACCCAGTTTAAGACTGCTGACGCTTTACTATTCTTAAGCAACATTTTGGCCATCCAAATTTTCTGTCTGGTTTTATTCCTCCTCAAACTATTCAAGAATCTCATTTTCATGAGCTTTCATCATAAATTGTTCCCTTTGAATCCAAACAGGGGTTTACTGAACTCCAATTTTCATCCCCTAAGAGGACATTTGCTACTGACTCTTAAGATACAATTGACTTGCTTTGGAGTCTGTCGAGTAGGCAGGACTTAGTTAATGAGGTAAATGAGATGGCTGGTGAAGGCTTTGGGGCTAGGTTCCATGATGATTGTTTGTAAAGATTTAAATCAGAGCTTGAGCTACCATGTCATTTTAAGCATAGAGTGAGGCTTGAGAAGGTCTAGCTAGCTGACCCAAGAATTATTTGAGCACGTTTGACATTTATTTATTAATATGTGGTAGAAATTTTTAATTATTATTCTAGAATCAGCAAATATAGTATATGCAGAAATCCAAACTACTCGGGGTTTTGGGGTTTTGGGGTTTTGGGGTTTTGGGG